CTTCTTATCACAAAAGGATGTCATAGTGAAAGGTCTGAAAAGATTGAGGTCATTGACTTTTTCCTGTCAGATGAGACATCCTAATGAAGGCAGAAGCATGAGACATACAAATCTTCTACATATCTCTTACAAATCTTCAGTTTTTCTTCAAATTTTTTGAAAATCACAAACTGTTCCAGAGTTTTATTTTCAAAGTTATTATATAAAACTATGTTTGGTTTGACCTCCAAATTATTTTATTTTTATTTTTTTTTTTATTTTAAAAGGAATGTGTAAGCTGCTTTCTTACAAAATGCTTTCTTAATGGACAAACCTGAGCAACAGCTGAAGACTACAGTTGGCAATTATAACATGACATTTTTATTATGCAGTCCAAACCTCACTCTAGGTGTTATGGGATTTTAGAAGCCGTCTACATGCAGAAAACAAACCTTCATGTATGCATGAAAAGATTTGATGAGAAATTTCAGATGCTTTTGGAAATTGAAGTGTTTTATGGCAACATCAGTCCATCTTAATAAGCTAAAGAGTCAGCAGTTGGTATGAACAAAGCCTTTTAACAAACATAAGGGCTGGTCTCCAGTCTTATGTCACCTTTTTTTCACCTCTGTTATGTTTATTCTTCAGGAGCCCCAACTGGCCCTCATTTAAAAGAAGACAACTCCCACTGGCAGCTTCATGCTCATTACTACCCCCCTCTGCTACGTTCAGCCACAGTGAAAAAGTTCATGGTGGGGTATGAGATGCTCGCCCAGGAGCAAAGGGATCTAACTCCAGAACAGGTAATACACTTTGCCTTGCACAGCAATCTGCTCCTACTTTGTGTTCTGCAATACAGAACGCATAAGGATGACTTAAGTGCTTTGCAAAAGTATCCATACTTCTTGAACATTTCCACATTTTGCTGCATTACTGGAGAGTTCCCCTGTTTATAATTTAATCTTAGAATAAAGACACTTATGTCAGTGAAAGAACTGTCACATAACAGTGAACAAACTGAATTTAGTAGGCAAAGAAACACAGTGGATCGATCAAGAATTACGTTGTAGAGACATTTAAAGCGAGATTAGATTTTGAAACAAATTCCCAAACTTTGAACATGTCATGGACCTCTGTTCAATCCACTATACAGACATGGAAAAAGTACTGTTTTGCTGTTAAAATTTTCAGGTTTAGCAGTTCTACTACTTGGCATAAAAAATAAGCTGTTTTTTTTGCAATTATTATAATCTTAAAAATCAACCTTTGCTTTTCTTTTTGTCTCAGGCTGCTGAGAAACTAAGAAATCTTCCAGAGGAGCACTATAAAACGAGAGAACAGTGAAAAAGAAGCACAAAGGAAATGAAGCAATCCCATCAATTCTTTAGAAGCCTTCCAACTGAAATATCCCTTTAAGAAAACAGAGAACAATTGTTCAAGTGCAAGTACAGTCGCAAAGTTGCACCAACAAGGACGTGATGCTTCACCCACACCACTGCACCTGGCGAACGTTCGCTCTCTGGAAGACAAAACAGATGATTTCTCTCAGCATTAGAAACTGCCAAATCTGCTGCAAATCCACTGGAATCTGTTTCTTGTGCTAGAAACTAGTTGGTAACTAAAGCTTTTTGACATGGTTTATTAACCTTCTGGAAGCTCCTTTTAAATGGAGAAGCCATGATTTTATGTTGTTTATGCCAAGAAGGTGGAAACTGAAATTGTGACTTATTGGACCAGAAAATATTTTCCAATGTTGGTGAGCCTGTGCAAACTGTACCTTTAGTTTTCCATCATTAGCTGACCAATGTGGCACCCGGTTTTGGCAATAGCTCATGTACAGTAAAGTCCAAATTGGTATGTGGTTGAAATGGTGCAAACGATGCAACAATCAAAGTGGTTTAAATCTTTGTTGCTCTATATTGATGCTTACTTTAAATTTTAGGAAGACATTTTAAAACCCTTGTTACCTAAATGAATGATTTGCCAATTGTATCAAAAAATAAACAAGTGTACAAAAGACAGTGGGAGGAGAGTGAACATCCTTGAATTTGTATCTTCTGCAGTTTGAAAAGACAGTGGTCTCAGCTGCCTACCATTGCATAGCCATCCTGGCTTGACATAAATGGAGGACACTCTCTAACTGATTGTGGAAACCTTATTCCACTTACACTGAAACATTTTTGTTCTGCAGCCGTCAGGAAAAGGGATCTTATCAGCTTTTTTCCATTTTCGATTTAATGATACACCAACTACTTCCCTTCAGGCCAGCTGAAAAGAAGTGCAATACTTTATCCTATTGGGATTTTGTCTAGGATGGTGTTGAAATTCAGCTGTGCACCTAATGAAAAAAGTTGCCATAACAACACTTGCACTCTTATATAGACAATGACACAAATCATTAAAACACACACTCACTGCCTTCATTATTCATGCTCCTTTCCTTGGAGCAAAGTCTCCTGGTTTTTGTTAAAATATTGATTCCTGGTTTTGTTAAAATGTACAGTTGAGCAGTAGAAGGTGTGGGTGAGGTTTACAGGCTGAGGGGTTCTAGAGGGCGTGGATGTTACCATATGTGTGTATGTGTAAACCCTTTTTATGTACTATGACAGACTTCATTCTTTCAGGTCAATATTTATCCAGTCCTTCAGGCTCACTGTGGATCCCCTTCTCATCTTATTTCATCATTCTTCAGGGACTGTTCTGTGCACGTATGTCTCTGTGTTGCAGATATATGCTTCTGTTCCCTGACGGCAGGGAATACGCAAGCTTCTCTCTGTGTGTAACTACTTTTTGACTCTGTTCTGGCAGAAGAATGAGCAGAGTTTGGTAATTCTGTGCCAGATTCCTTTGGCTTGTCTTTTTCAGTCAGCTCTGGTGATGAATTGTTTCCCAGTCCTGCTTAGGAAGCCAAATTGGCCTTATGAAGCCTAATTAGTATCATCTGTATGTCTCCATTGCAGCATCATGTCATGGAATACTAGAGAATTCAGAAAAGAAAATATTTTGAATCTTTTTAAATGATTTCAGATCGTGGGGATTTCAAATTTTTACACATTTTTTAAAATGTACTACTAATACACTTGAACCTAAAACTGTTGATTCAGTTGTTGGTTCACCTCTGCTTGCGCTGCTGTCAGTAATCAGCTATGAAATTTAAGAGGGATTAATGTTATTAACTTCCTTTTTAATGATGGTTTCATACTGCAAAGTTTCACAGCTGTTTCATTTATGACTGGGATACCGTAAAGTTGATTCAATTTGGCTAGCAGAGAAAATATACTCTACAAATCCAGAGGACAAAATAGAGTTTGGCATTTTGAGTTGGTGAAGGACAGCGTTAATCAGAGAAGCACCCAAGAGGCTCGTGGCACTTCTGGAAGAGTGGCAGACATCCAGAGCTCAGGTTGGGGAATCTGTCAGCAGGACAAATATTTGTTTTGGACTCGAGTAATATGAGCTTCATGGAAGAGTGACTGGTGGGAGCCTCCAGGTGTGGGAATATAAAAGTCAGTCAGAGGTTATTGGAAGATGATGCTAAGTACACGCAATCCCAAAGAAGGCAGCAAAACATTGCCTTCAGGATGTCTTATGTCCTATGACGTATGCTTAGGGTTGGAATTGCTTAAATCAAATTACCTACACGTTATTAGACTGGGCATAAATCCAAATTAGATTTGGTGGCAACATCTGAAAATATATCCACAGCTCTACATCAAATCAGACTGAGCTTGAACTATTTGTTAATATGCAATGCTGTACCCCATCAATCTTGTAGCTGTAATATCTGATGCTACTTTGCATTGGTCCATAACATACAATCGCAATGGAATGCAGTGAAGTTTGTGAATGGAAGTTTTAGGAAGAATAAACCTTTGTGCAAGGTTCTACTAGTTTCATTTGGCAGTAAAATGTTATATATTTTTTTTATTTAGGTAGTCAATTATTTTATTTTCTTTTTAGCCATTCCTGATCTCACTTTGCTTAGAGCTCCACACTGACAGAAACCAGCAGCAGTAGACTTCAAAATAAAACTGAAAACTTTCACAGTTACTTCCTGGAGCCATGTAGAGCTGTGTAATGACAATAGAGAAGGATGGATGGGTTTCATTGGATGTGGAGACTGTGGCTACAAAAGTGGTGAAAAACTCCTCAAAAACTTTGAAAATAAGATGCACACTACAGTCAGTGCTGGCACGTTGACTGAGCAAATGACATTAAAAATGGTTTATCTGCTTTGTGTAATAGAGTCTGCTCAGAATGTAAATGAACAATAGAGGGCAGTAGGAGACTTACAAACCACAGCAATGAGGAACTTAACAGATGAAATTCAATATTAATGTAAAATAATCTAAAACCATTTGTGTGATTTTCTTTATCTTGCAAAAAGTGTTTATACCCCCTGGTCCCGCTCCAGAAAAAAATACATAAGTAGAATTGTCAGTTGTCACGTTGCATCCACAATTTATATTAGGAGTTTATATTAGTAACAGACTAATATGAAGTAGCACATTGTGAATTGTGAGGAAAATACACGGTTTTAAAGAAATGTTTACATGTAAAAAATCAAAATTGAATGGTCTGTGCTTTTTTTCAGCCCTATAGGTCAATGCTTTTTCAACCACCTTTTATTGCAGTTAAAGCTGCAAATCCTTTGGATATGTATCTATTAACTTTGCATATCCAGAGACTGAACTATCTGCTCTTTCCTCCCAAATCAAATGGTGTCAGATGTGATTAAGAATGTCTGAACATCAAATTTCAACTTCTGTCCCAAATACGCAATTGTACTCATGTCTGCACTTCAAACACATGAACATGTAACCATTGCATTTGCAGCATCTTGCAGGATGTCCTGTAATGATTTCTATTCATCATCTCACTGACTGACTAACTTCCAGCTTTTCTGTAGATATCAATATGATGCTGAAACCACCATGTTGTATCTATTATGATTGTAAAAATGAAAAGTATTGTATTCGTAATGTATAAACTCTCTTGCCGTTACGCATTAGCATATCTGTATGTAAGCAGAGAACATTCATTGAAAGTATGTGGATAACATAAAATGCTTGCGGCACAGTTGGCAATATTTTGTAATAGGATTCAAGTCATGAAACAAGTGTCTCTTTCTTTATCAACAAAATTGTCACTGTCACTAATCTATTAAGATGATTCTATAGTTTTGGTTTTGTGTAATATATTTTGTTTATTTTGCTTTCTTAGCTGAAAATCTTTAATCATGCGTCACATGTTGCATTTCGAATAAATTATGGATTATGGATTAAGGGGCAGCACAGTGAAGCAGCGGTCGGCGCTTCGCCTCACAGCTGGAAGGTTTAATCCTGCTGGTTAGCTGTAGCTCTTGTGTGTCTTCCAGTTCATCCCCTCTCTCCTTAACTTCTCTTCCCTACAGTCTAAAAAGACGAGTAGGTTAATTGGTGTACCTGATTTGAATGCTGCCAGCCCAATAACTAGCTGTTATGATGATTTGGTCAGTGTGTGCTCTACTCAGTGTATACGCTAAATTGGCTCATTATATGAGCAGCTGAAGACAGCAATAAGTTGGGTAGTAGCAGTGCGCTAAACAGATTGAGCTGTCCTGCCTGCACTGTCCACTATGAAGCAGAATGACATAGTAAAATGTTGCTGTGATTTAGCTGACTTAACAAAATACAGACAGAAACCAAGTTTCTCAGTAGTTTTGCATTTTAAAAGATAGACATTCAACAGTGATGTCCACCACCGTCTATATCAGTCTTATACACAGAACTGGGATGGATGTATGATAAATAGCTTGATTTTCTGCTTCACTTTATTTTCTTGCACTCTTCCAGACCTGGGAAATGTTTCCATCGCATTCTCGATTGTTCCAGAGTGGGTACCAAACCCTCAACTACTCATCTCTATTTTTATTAACCAATTATAACATTTAATAAACCAGCAGATGCATAGCTGTGCTACATATTCTATAATGTTTCTGTTAAAGATGAGAACTGGAGGTGTTGCATTGTATCACATTTTTCCTAACACATGCAAAATAAGCTACCAACTCTTTACTTTGTCTATGGTAACTTATTTGTACAGGTAGGTACAATTACCACCTATGAGTTTGTCCTTGTGTTCCAGATTTGTGTTCTATCTGTTCTTCCCAATTCTCTCCTGCATCATTTCCTCCCTCACCCTTAGGGGTAATTAATCTGCATGAAAGCTGACTAAGCAGATGTTCGAGGTTATCCCTCTTTTTTCTTTTCTTTTTTTGCATTGACAAGAGAAACGGATACAATCGATGAAATACATCAGAGTTTTGAAGCTTTCATGAGAACTGCCAAGCAGATGGATTTCAGGAAATAAACATTAACTGCCATAGCCGAGCTGAAACTCCCTTAACTCTATGTCAAAGAACTGCAATGAACTGTTAGATTTCATTATCTATCAGTAATGTGTGGAGTTTCTGCAGTTGCTGTAAATCGCAAAAAAAAAAAAAGATCACACACTTGCTCTGAAAAGGGAAGACTGCTGTTTCAATACCCTAATACAGCTTACTCTGACAGTTGAAAGCTGATCTTTTAGTCCAAGTATCTAAAATTCAAAATAAAGATAGCAAAATTCCAGTTCTTAAGATAATGAAACACACACCCCCACAGACAGACTGTGGAAGATAACCTCAGCTCTGCTCTGGTCAAATCAAGATAAGAGGACTGAACACTAAATAATCACTAGTTGTATCAGCCTCACTGAGCAGAAAGAAATAAAGAAAAGATACATTTTATTATGTTTGTCATTGCACTGTTTAACAGTCTTTATCTGTGGAGCTGGTGTGGATGTTATCACCAAGACTGCTCTGTTTTGTTTACTGTTCTGTTTATTATCTTGTCTTATTTATTTTTTCACCAAAACAAGTAGATTAAATTCTGTTTTACTGGTGTGATTCTCAAGTTCTTTTTTTTTTTCCTTTTTTCATGAAAATCCAACATATATAACAGCAGCAGCTCTTTAATCACAAAGAGAGTAAATAATACAT